TACTAAAATAATTATTCCTAGTAATTACTAATTACTTTGGTTAATTATTCCTACTAAAATAATTTATGTAGGAATTTCTGTCAAAATAATTTTGTCATATTTTGTTTTTTCCAGGTAATAAAATAAAGTGGAAATAAATATACTTTATAACCTATGTTTTATTATTTTACATTTTTAAGAAGACATATTTTCTTTAAACATGAACATTTTTAGTGCAGGTTCTACATGAATTTTTCCAGTACTACTTAAAATTTTATCCTATTATATTTTCATTCTATTGACTTGTTTTAATAGAGATAAATATTTAATTCTTCCTAAATTTATCATTAAGACTCTAACATTCAGATGACAAATGACTTGTATTGTGGCTTGTTTTCTTTACCAATCACCACGATATTTTAAAMAAATATTTACTTATTTTTTAGTTGTAGTTGCATACCTTTATTTATATGTGGTRCTGAGGATTGAACCCAGGACCTCGMATATGCTAGGCAAGCACTCTACCTRCCGCTGAGCCACAACCGCAGCCCCTCACCGTGATGTTTTAAAAGAGACCTTATACATTTCCAGAAACACTCTGCTCTCTAAAGATGCTACAAATAATCAGGCTGATTTTTTTTTTTTTTTTTTTTTTTTAGAGTGCCACCTCTCTCACACACCAACTAGATATTAATGTAGTCACTGCCACATCCTGGGAAGCAATTTTGACAATCTTGTAACCCAAGGATTTCAGTTCCCCATTTCCAGCCAAACTGATCTTTAAGTGAGACATTATATGCTATGTAATAATCCAATTACTTTAAATAAGGTTGAAGGCAATTGTAAATTTATATTCATTTTAGAAATTAGTTATTATATGTATACATTCTTTTGATCTTTTGAAAATGAGTTCAGGTAAACCTGAAAACCTCACCATAAACTTGCTGATTCAAAATCTGCTCTAGTAAAGACATTTTTTTTTTTTGAAACACCTGAGGCACAGCACTGCTGAATTACATATTCCTATCATTAGGTTCCAGTATTATCATTTTTCTCCATCTTATTGAAAAAAAAAACCTTTCAGAAATTACCCAGAGCCTTCATAAACATTTCCAATTATGATTTTTTGGACAACAAATGACTTGTATATGTAAACCAAATATTAATGGTTTATAGCTAAATATTTTCCTTTTCCATKATAAGCTTTGATCCTTTTTGGTTTTATTTTGTTTCAAAAATTATAAAAATAATAATATTGACTCCCTTTCCAGCTACTGTATAAAGATTACAAGAGGACTCAGGCTATAGCTCAGTGGCAGAGCACTTGCCTAGCACATGTGAGGCACTGGGTTCGATCCTTAAAAAATAAATAATAAAAATAAAGTCAGGCTCTCCATCTACAACTACAAAAAGATTTTTTWAAATAGTACAMGAAAAAARTTATGTTTTTGATTCCTAGAAAAGTCACAAACAGCAATTACTACAGAGTTTGGCTAGAAGTGAAAACCATATGTAACGCCTCTGTCAGCAAAGACTTACTAGAAAAGGGTTTATAATAAATATTCACATCTGCTGCTTTGGACACTCTAATCCATCCTAAGGATCTTTGCTGTGTCAGGCTTTGTTCTAGATGAAGAGGCCCAGTAGTTATAAAGGTTTGCAAATAGGCCATATTTATCATGGTTAGCTTTACTTTTAAAATTCTCTTATTTCCAAGATATTCATGATGTTTGGGATATAAWTTGGAATTAAATATTTYKCTATGGCTTTCATGGTGATACCATTCTAGAATTCATATTATGAAATGGATAAATTCTGTTTCCACAATATATTACCTACCTAAATCTATGAAGAAGGTATCATTGATAACCATGCTGTACCTTTTGTGAAAAATAGTGGCTAAAAACCCAGGCTGTGGATTTGAAGTACTTGTACTTAAATGTTGGCTCCTTCCATCTCTAAAATGCATCATGATCTGGTTTCTTAGTTTTCTGTAGCTTCTCCTTCTTCACTCACACATTGGCATTAATGCTGTTTTCCTYGTCATTAGAATGTTGTAAGAAATGTGTGGGATTATCCACACTGAGCACTAAGTATGATCTCTAGCACGTTGAGAGCTTAAAAATTTTTAAACATCATTGCTGGAATGATAACATGCTTTCTATGATTAGATACTCCAGTGGATAGAACTAATGTTCTAGTTATTTATCGTAAATGCTAAACTTATATAAAAACATTCCATTGACTTCATTTGCCTTTAAATTCCCTAATAATTTATTACCAGGCTTTTAAAATAAAACTTTTAATTAAAACTAAATTCTTACTGAGCACGGTGATGCACAACTGTTAATCCCAGTGGCTCAGGAGGCTGAGGCAGAAGGATCCCAAGTTCATAGTTAGTCTCAGCAGCAGTGAGGCACTAAGCAACTCAGTGAGATCCTGTCTCCAAATAAAATACAAAAAAAAAAAAAAAAAGGTCTGAGGATGCGGCTCAGTGGTTGAGTGCCTCTGAGTTCAATCCCTGGTACCCCCAAAAAGCAAAAGAAAGCAAAACTGAATTCTTGGTTTGTTTTCACTATGAAGGAATGATTCACTAAAAAGAATATGACATAAAAATTATGGGACTGCCCTGTATTTTATTTAGCTAAAATACATAACAAAAATTTTGATTATTCAATTTTTTTTTGAATTTTAACTTAAAATAAAAATCCCAAGTCATTTTGAAATGGAGATATTTATTTTCACTTCAAATCCAGAGAAAGTTTGTTGAGTTCATGAGTATTATCATTTTTAAAGTAAAAATATATATTATTATAGTTTTGAACAATGATTTAGCATAATTTTGATAAATAATTTTAAAGTAGAATACCAATTATACCATATAAATTATTCATGATACATACTTGTAGATATAGATCCTATTTTTCCATAAGTAAAATTTGAAAACTATGCCATTTTAAACTTTTGACATAGTCATTTGAAGAAGAAAGTTGCCTTGCTTAGCTACTTTCAATCTCATCTTTTCAGAATGATTTATTTATCACAAATATAAGGAGAATGGCAGAGCACTTTGATGACCTCTGCATATAAAGTAGGCAGAGGATTAAACTTCATTTTCCCATTCTAAAATTTTATAATCTATTCATTGATGTGTCTAAATTTTTACTCAAATTGTTTTTATACAGGCAAGAGCTAGTTTATATTAAAAGACTGACATCTAAGAAAATAAAACGATAGTCTGCTGAATCACAATTAAATAAAATATAATGTTCTATTGCTTATAAGATGTGACTGCTTGAAATAAAATCAATCCTCTCTCTCTCTCTCTCTCTCTCTCTCTCTCTCTCTCTCTCTCTTCTCTCTCTCTCTCTCTCTCTC